GAAAATAGTCTGTCACAAGATTCAGAAGAAAATGTTCCTAAAAGAGAAAAAATATCTAGAAGAGGGAAACCATGTCACATTCCTATTCAATATCCTTGTAACTTCTAAAACTGACTTGTATAGCCTAAGGCCATGTTTTTGTTACAGTGTTTATCTTATACATATAGGAAGCAATGTGCACACACGATGTTCTCATACTTTCTCAAGACTACTACTAAATCTGATTATTTCAGGGAAAATATATAAACAGAGAGCAGAAAACAGAAGTTTTCTCTAATTTACACAGAACCACTACCTAAAGTCTCTGTTTATAAACTGTTTAATAAGATTCATGATGACATTCTTAAACTTTTCCATCAAAAGAAATCAACAACATCAGAAAAACAGCCTTTTTACAGGTTTTGTGCTTCCCTGATGATGTCTAACATATGAGGCCAGCTATGTAGCAAGATCAGGTTAAAATCCGAGCAGCAAAACTGGCACAGTGTTTACTACAGCAAAGCTATGAAACCATGTTTGTGTTGTGATGGGAAACACTATCACCCTTGATTTGCATTTTCAAAACCTGAAATCTAAAGAATAATCATACTTTCTAAACTGAAATGATCCAAATTGCAGTGAAACTGCACTTTCCTCAATACTGACAAGAAGTTTGTCACATGCAAGCAAGTATCCCAAGTACATTTGAAAGAGCAATGCACTAAGCAAAATGCGACATCATGACGATTCTAAGAATTTAGAGAACTGGAAAGATGGTGTGTAATTAGCATCAGAGGAATGATGACACAGTCAACAGCTCTGAAAGGCAGCACAAAGCACTGAGAAGAGCATGAGGTCTGGAATCAGACTGAAATGAATTTAAATTCTGCCTCTGGGACTTGTTAACTCTAACCAAAGACATCGATAAGTTAGTTAACCTTGCAAAGTTAACAGTTTTTTCACCTAAAAAACTAAGCAAACCTCCTGCGTCTGACGCAAACATTATCTGGGGAATACTCAATAATAATAAAAGCAGTTGGTTATATACCAGGCTGTTCTAAGTATGTATTTTATAAAAATTAACTTACTTAATCTTCTTAGCAACTCTAGGAAGTGTGTAATTATATCATCTCCATTTTGCAAATAAGAAATATGAGGTAAGGAAAGATGAAGTAAATCATTCCAGTTCGTACAGCTAGTAATGAGCTGAGCTGCATTTTCAACCCAAGTAGTCTGGCTCCAGTCTTGCTCTAAATCACTACATTATAGTAATATTATTAAATTATTTCCCTTCCAACCACCTTAATTCCAATGCATTTTAGTAAAATACTGAAAATATTTAAACTGCAAATCTTTATTTGCTATAACTCATCAGTAAATGAATTAACCTAGAGCTCTCATTTCTATTTGTTCTCTAAACTACTGTGGGAAGTCTTTTTCCTACACCTTATCTCCCCCATCTTGCAGCTCTTAAAGCTCTACAACAACTGAAACACCCACAACACCCTTAATAGTATTAGAACTTGTTAAAACTGAAATAGTCATAACCTCATTTATATTTAACTTATTATGACAAAGGAGACTATGCAATTCATCATTCTTTCCCCTTAACTCTCCTACTCACTTTGTCTCCCTACCTACAACACTACCTAAATCCAACCCATAGGATCAAGTAGCAACATTTCAGCAGAAAACATGGTACACATGCTTTAATACTTGCTTCATCATACCATTCAACCATTACAATTTCCAAGAAAATACTAAATGTCATGTTTCATAAGAGCATAAACACATTTCTACTATTTAATTTGAGCTAAAAATAGGCTTTGCAGATTAGGGCTAGAAAAAAAAAATTTTTGGACAACTAAAATTAGATCATTTTGGTATGCAAAAGACATCATGTACCAAATAAAGCAATAAATTTAACTCTAAAGTCCTCCAGCAGGGAGGGCATTGTCTATTATCTTTCTTTGCATGGCCAGAGTTTCAAGGGCCCAGCCTCCATTATCACAGCGATTGCCAGAGCACCAAAATGCAGGGAAGAGACAGCAATAAACAGACCATAATCAATATCCGTAATTTGTAAATGATGAGACAGAAAATAGAAACAACCAGTTTCTAAGCCAACAAAAGGAAAATAGACAGCAAACATTTTGATATCTGGAAGCAGTTCTTTCTCATTACTCCAGAGGCATGAATCACTCTGCAGGGCACAGCGTGCACTCCCAGGGAGTCTCGTGGAAGAGGTGAGAAAACGAATGAGTGACACAGGCATAACTGGTCTTCTCCAACTCACTTTCTCCCTCTCTCCAGGTCATCTTTTTTATTCTATGCCACCCTCTAAATGCAAATTTCAACCTGAAGAGCCAGTAAATGACCAAACTATCTAGAGGAGTTGTTAATAGTAATTAGATAGGAATGGTCATTTTGGAAGAAGAAAAATTACTACTATGATCATATTTTGTGATCTACAACTTCAAGTCTCTTTTGATGATGACGTATAAATAACATACAAATAAGTGAATAAACCAACACATTTCCAGTCTCTATTACAACCCTGTAACAGGTTAAGAAGGTAAGAGAAATATATGTTTGCTATTCTCAGTCCACCAATATTCTAATCACACTCCCCAAAGGTCACAAATATAAACCATGAGTTGGAACATTGTCTTCTGCCATCCAAAGAAAAATGGTTCCTAGGAATCAAAATTTTTCTCAACTTGGTTGAAATGCTATTTTCCTGTGCCACCCCCCAACACTCTCCCCAAAAATATTTTTTGTGTTGCTTTTCTGTACAGTAAGCTAATCAATTCTTTCATTCTCATAAATGATTACACAAGAGAATTTAAACACAACTTTAAAATAGGATACAATCTAAGAAAGCCAAGATTAATCATAACTCAGCAACTTGTTAAAAACAAAGCTCTTATTGAATATGACCACTAAAGCTGCCATCAGAGAGTCAATATATCAAGAATTCTGAAAAGACATTATTCAAAGAGAACAGCTACCTCTTAGCCACATAATCATCTGTGCCAGCATTCTCCAGAAATTTAAACTTTATAAGATTGTGCTTTAAATCTTCAGAACAACCTATCATTATTTAAGAGGAATAAAATAATCAGACCTACTATCTGTTTTTTAGAAAAAGTTAGTATTCATGGAAATCTAAATCCTGTTACACAGTCACCTTCTAAGTTATAAACACTTCACTTACCCTAATGTCATCAGGCAGCACGTTGCCTGCCGTTCTCACTCACTACTTATTGAGCATCTCAGGGCAACCTTCAAAGGGCAACTAAGCCGTGCTGGGCCAACAGTGTCCCCTGGTAGTCACTATTTCAAATTGTCTGACCCAGGTTTTCTTTCCCTGGAAATTCTACACACTCATTTACAAGCCACAGCCCAAATGCCTTTAGCACCCTCAACATATTCATTACCTTTGAACACCTCCTGCTCCCTCTAACTCAGTGATTCTAAAAATAGGGAGCATAAGGAAGAAAGATGTGAGGGTCAGGAAAATGTTTAGAAACTGGATAAGAAGCAACTTCTCAAAATATTAAACATTCCTTCACTGAGATTCTGATACAACCCTTGTAGTGTGGCATCATCACCCCACCCCTTGAAGTCACAATGCATTAAGAGAAATAGATGTTACTGAAAGGAGAGCCCCTGAAAATATAAAATCAGAAAACTAAACAGCTGTTGGGTAATGTCTATTTTAATCTCATCCCTTATTTTCTCCAATCCTAAGATTTACTTGGGCATGGTGACATCCCTGCAGTTGTTCTAAGATTAAGGTGATGAATATTTGGCATCCTTTCAACTACCCATCACTGTCCTGCATACTGTTACATCAAACCACTAACATCTACATGCCTCCCCTCACAAAAGGTATACATTTTCTTATTACATGATTTTGTGTTTACAAAAATTACCTAGGATGAAAACGTAGCCAACTGGAGGCTGGGTTTCCAGCCTGAATGTAAAAGAAGTCTATCTCTAGAAGTCAGGCATGTTTAGAAAAATCTGATAGACTCTTGGGTTAAGGTGACCTGGAAACTATAGGAGAAACTCGTATGTCTCCAGGGAAATTACTTTAAAGGAAAAGAGAGAACAGGAAAACTGGTTTGCCTTATTCTCCATCACCTGAACCCAAAGAGAAGTGATTCTGGATTCTGTGTGAAGTAGCTCACTAAGATGTGTTATTCCCCAATAGCACCCTCCAGTACCCCATGGAATCCTATCTGGGTCATAAGGAAGAAAATGATTCCAAAAAAAACTTAAAGAGAAATTTCTCACTAGAAAAATCTCTAAGACATTAGGGAAAAAATATTCTCTTAGAATATTTTGAATGGAATACAATGTAGCTCTCACATACAAAGAACTTCAGATAATATGGTAATGCAGCTCAGTGATAGTAGCTTAAGGATGTGTGTCTGGGTGCAAACTACAACAGTACTTTTTGGCCATGTTGGTGCATCCAAAAATAGACCCTCTGTCATAAGTACAAATATCTTTAAGATGGACATGCCCCCAGCCCCAAGTAGGGCACAGAGACATCAGTAGATGACCCCTTCAGTGACAAAGCCACAGAAAGGAACACTGGATTGCAGAGTGTTAAGAGTACCTATGGGCCACCCTTATGCCCCAACCATGATCTCCCAGAAATAACAGAGTATGACTGAGAGGGAAAAAAAATCCTACGATTTCAGCTGAAAATATGGGCCAAAGAAATATGGATTATAGAAAGCTAATATTATTAACATGTGAGTATCTGAAACTGTTTCCTTGGAATTTAAGTATTTTTGTTTTGATGTTTCTCTATCTCTAAGTAAATGGCATGCAAGCAAATTCCACTCAAACATCTTCAGGAGAGTTAACATTCATCACCTTACAAGGTCTGGGTCTCAACTTGCCATGTTCTCCAAATCTCTCTTTGGTAGAAAACGAAACATTTACACCTCAACTTTCCCTCTCTTTCATTCTCTCGCAACCATATAAATATATAGTTAATATACCGAGTATATTCGCAGTACACTGAAGAATTCCTGAGACGTCCTCAATTTCTTCTTTGTTGGAGTGGTCTGCATAGGAGCATCTGTTAGAGATATTGTGGAAATTCTTTTCTGCATCCCTGTAACTAAGAAGAAAACAAAATTATCATAAGGAGAAATTTTTGAAAACATCTGTGAATGCAACTAATATACACACGCACAAGCATGTGCAGTCTATGCTTTCATCATAATCACATTTTAAAGTAAATGAAACTTTGAGACACAATTCTGGCATAACCCACCATTCACATCAGCATTTGCAGTGTAGACCTGGAACTGGGGGAACTGTTAACAAGAAAGCTACGTGTGAAAAAAGAAAAATAAGGAGGAGAACAAAAAATATATCAGCTTTGTATAGCTAATATATCGCTCTGTGAGCACTTCATCAGCACTAGTGATCTGTTTCTATAAGGAAGATCACAGAAGAGGAAAACTTAATAATGTTAACTTGGTGTCCTGGCATTCAACAGTGTTGAAAGTAAATACACCATAACCTCTATCACAGTCAAGCAGATAGCAGTATGGAATATAAATAACACACACGTGGCAGAATTTGAGTCATGGTCTTACAATTTTCTATCTGTGAGATCTTGAGCAAGTAACCTAATCTCTGTTAGTCTAACTTTCCTCTTTCATAAAATGGAGGTGCCTCCTAGAGTTCTTGTGAGGACTAAATAGCACAATGTCTGTGTTTGTTGGATATTGGCTGGGACTTTTTGAGTTGCCTCTGAATAAAAGCTAAGACATAAAGGATGGTGACAATAAAAAGGGTAGTCAAGAAGAACAGAGTTCTTCTTCAGGATTTAAGAGGAGACTAAATAGCCACTACCCCTATCACCCTACCACCAGCTTACAGAAGCAAAGGAATAGAAAGACTTTAAAATCAAATCTTCAGAAGAGTGAGGAACTGACCTAGAAGGAAAGTGCTGTTGTACTTTTCCCCCTCCCCGCCTAGAAAACGAGAAAAGGGAAGTGTTCCCTGCAGAAGTCCAGTTGGTGAGGGGGGTCCGTAGCTGGTAGAGGCTGGGGGTTGCCCATCTCATTCCCCAGTCAATGTCTGCAGAGGCAGTGGATTTCCCGACCATACCCCCATGTCTGACTGATAAGAGGAAGAAGATTCTGGAGAGAGTTATTGACAAAGAAAAGAAATAGAGCAAAATTGGGAGCAACCTAAAGGCCCAGCATTTGGCAGGGCAAAAATGTGAGTTTCCCATGGGTTAGGGAAGAGAGAGGCAAGCTCGAGTTGTTTGGTTGTCATGTTGCTCTTCCAATCTAGAGGCTGCCAGCCACAGACAGGACTCCCACTAGCAAGACCACGAGAGTGCAGTCCATAGGTGCAGGAGCTGGGGCAGCCGAAGCAATCAGGGCAGCACACATGTATGTACCCTAGCGAGGGCATCACAGCCAAGAGAGGACTGCTACAACCCCAGTGGATGTGAAAAGGCTTCTGCCATTTTCCATTTCATTCATGCCTCACCCAACACATCAGAAGAGAAAGCAGCCAGAAAGGAATGGCCTGGAGAAAAGGAGTGAAAGCCCACATGATCCACCCTGTTCTGCATTCCAAGTCTCTTAGGCCAAGGTCCGATCCAGACAGAGAAAGGAACATTAGATTTAGACTGGATATGAGGGTAAAGATTTAAACTGGCCTAGAGTAAACTGCCTAATTCTAGGAAGTACTTAGTAAATGAAGCAATCTAAGCTAATATCAAAGGGAATTCATCGTAGCATGTCTGATGTGAGTGGAGAGAAAAATAAAATGGTTTCATGTTTGTACACCTCATTGAGATCAGACTCCAATAAACCAGTTAGGCAAAATGCTCACTACAGTTTCCAGAATGTAGGAGTCACTCAATAAGAGGTGGAACAGGGAGCACAGATGTTAAACACAGATAACCACAGGGTTATTTTTAAATCAAGCTCCACCATTTTTATCAGAAGGACCTTTAAAAAGTATTTTTTTCTCTTAGCCACAATTTCCTCATCTGTAAAATGCGCTTAATATGGTAGTCTTATGCAATATGTTTAGGATTAAATAAAAGATGGAAAGAACCCAGCATATCTCCTCAAACATAGTAAGCAAAGATATCAGCTTTTGTCTAATCTGTTTATCTTCAAAAGGACACAGTTTTTTCTATGTAAATATATTTAAAAGCTACATTACTTTTAAATAAAGTAATTTAAGCCACAAAACCTGATCATGAAAGGTTAAATAGTATCCTTAAAGCTTGTTTCCCAGAATAATCAGAATTTACTCACTCTTAATTTCACTTCTAGTGTTCTATTGAAATTATTCTGGCTTAATTTCTCCTCAATTGTCAAAAGAAAAAGAAAACAGAAGGTTGGCTGTATAAAACAAACATAGGGCCCACATTAATAATGGTAGCAATAGAATTTAATTTTAGATGACTATAAGAATTGGTGTCCCAGACCAATATGAATTTGGCAACAGTCCTACCCATGATATTAACACAACAATGCTTATTCTGGCCAAAAAAAAAGGATAAAATTAGTGGCATGGTTCTGAATACATATTTCTTTATCCTTTAGTGTTTAAAATATATAGCAAGTGAACACTGTATCTCAGAAAGATTATCACATCTCCCTTAACAGTTTACTGCAGAAATCTATGCTTCATCTACACTGCCACAGCAATTCATTTTTGTGAGCCATAGACCAGCAGGAGTCATGTGGTACAAACATGAGTGATAGCAGTCAGGTCAAGCCCTCTAGAGACAGGAATTTCAGTTAAAAAAAAAAAAGAAAAGAAAAGAAAAGAAAAAGGTGTTCCCTATAAGAAGAAAACTGTAGCTAGAACATGAACTGGGCATGTTCAGCTCCTGATGCTAAACAACAGATTCTAAACTTTAAAAGACCCAAGGAAGACAAGAAAAGCTTGCGAGAAGAGGATAAATTGAAGACAATCCACAAAAGTTGAACTGCAAAAGAGTCACATACCAATAGTGGTCATAATAATTCAGTTCATTAATTGATGATCATTGTGTGTACCAGGTACTATGCTAACTACTTTATGTGATTATATAACTTCATACATTATTATCATCAAGATTTTATTTGAACCTCACCGCAACCCTGTTATTATTCCTATTTTTAAAATGATAAAACTGAGGCTCAGGGATTCTAAGTAAACTGCCCAAGATTATTCAGTAGCAAAGCCTGACTTTAAGTCTGGTAAGTCTCATATGTCTGCTTACAAAACACAGTCTTTCAACAACATACAAAGAGAAGAAAGGGCACAAGATAATGGCAAGAATTATATCAGAAAAAAGTACCACTATAAGCAGACATTCTTCCATCCTCAGTTTCTTTTAATTTCTAAAGTGAATCCTGCCTGTCTCCTACTGACCCCTTCGGCTTCTCACTAATCTTTCCACCCCACATTAGCCAGAAATCTAGTCCATTCCCTAGAAGTTTGAGTTAAAGAGCAACTAACATAAAGATGCACATTCAGTGACCCCTTACTCTTAGATGAAGGAAAGACAATGCTACAGGAAGAAGGATCACTCCAAGTGAGCATGAATATGTAGAGTTTATATAGCAATCAAAATTTTCCACAAAGTCAACCTGACACAATTGGAGTTAGAGGTAGATGATGGAGAGACACTTTAGACTGGGTGGTCATGGCAGGCTTTCCTGAAGAGAAGACTTGTGAACAGGGACCTATATTTATAGAAAGAATAAGCCATGCAAACATCTGGGGGAAAAGCATTACATAAAAATGAAATGGTACATGCAAAGGCCCTGAAGCTAAGGTTGGTAAGTTGAGAAACCAACAGAAGGTTGAAACGGAGTGAAAAGGGGGAAGTGGAAAGCGGTAAAATTCGAGAGGTAGGCAGAGGCCAGATCACAGAAAGAATTTAGACTTTATTCTACCATAATAAGCCATTGTATGTTTTAAAGCAGGAAGTTGAAAGTGTGATCCCTGGACCAGCAGCATCAGCATTACCTGGGAACTTGTCAGAAACGCCAGTTTCCTGAGCCCCATCTAGACCCACAAAAAATCAGAACTTTTGGGAGCAGGGCCCAGTAATACGTGTTTTAACAAGGCTGGAAGGTGATTCTGAAGCACATTAACATCTGAGAACCATTGGTTTCACGTAAGAAGGTGGCATGGTCTAATTTTTTTAATCACTTTGCTGCGGTGAAAATACATATTGTTGGACAAAAGTAGAAACCAGAAAATTAGCCCAGAATGTCTCGGTGAGATGATGATGATAACAGTGGAGATGAAGAGAAGAAGATTTATCACATTGCATGAATAAATTATTTTAGCACTCATTTCCCCAACTTGAATAATCTCTATGAATAAATAAATGAACCAGTGAATGGATAAATTAAGGACTAGAATAATGTTTAAAGATAAAGTGGATGAGGTACAGAGAGGCTATCTTACTCCCTCACAGGAAACCCTATCAGCTAACTCCCTCCGAATCCTTCTGCCTGTGACCCTTCGGAACAGCTGCTCCCTGCGTTCAAGTCTCAGTCCTGGCAGACAAAAAAAGCCTCAGAGAGTTTCCATGGGCAACCAGTATAAAGTCCAAGAAGCAGAACTGTACAATCCTGGAGCTCTGATAAATAAAACAGATTAAGGACAGAGTTTTAAAAGTAAACAAAGGAAGGTCAGTGGTTAGAGGATAATTAAGAAATTAAAAAGAGAAGGGCTAGCTTGTACTCTCTGTTGCCTGTTCTGCTTCAACACCTCAACACAAAGTATTTAAATGCTGAGTTATTTCAAGACAGCTTTAAGCAAGCCCCATTTCAGAGATTAGGAAAACCATCTCCTTCCCACCCTTACCTCCGCAAAAATAACTAAAATAATGCTTGTCTGCACTTATTCTCAATTCTCAATAAAGGGATTCCTAAATCCCTTTAACTGTAAGAAACACATTCTTTTTCACAATTAGAGATAAGAACATTTAAATTGTGTTTTCTTAAGAGTAACAACACACAGTTGTAAATAATTTTTAATTCAAGGGTGAATGACATCAGCTGCTCCACTTATTTTGACGGAAAAGAGAGAGAAAAAGTAGAAAGATGGAGTATAAAAGGCAAAAGAGGGAGTTTGACAGAAAAGTCATCAATGAGAAAAAATGTAAAAAAGGTGAACACAGTCAGGAAAGGCAAACATGACAAAATTGCTGCCAGCAGGTCCCCTTTGTCTTCATCAGCATGAGGGCAAATAAAGGCAGTGAGCAAAGGTACTTCAAGTCCCAGAAATCCGCCAACACCCAAGCAAAATATGCTAATAGGCCTATTTGGATCAAGTCAGACAACAAGACTCCTCTTTATACTGGAGTCAAATTCTCTGTTTTCTTTATACTGTGCCTACAATAAACAGAACTAGGAAAAGACCATTAATGCAATGGACAAAGAATCACCACAGGCCATATCTAGGTTGCTTCTAGACATGGGGAGGGCTGAGGCAGCTAACTGGAGAAAAAAATGTTCTGATTATAGCAACATAGTTTGGTTATCTATTTTGGTCACATTATAAGAGTCCTACTCCAATGTGCCTTAAAGGCATACTTTGGTTCACAAATGAGAATATTTCATCAATTATTATTTTATTTCAAAACAGAGCATTAATAATCCCAGAAAATAGAGTTTGATAATGGATATTGACATAAAAATATTAACAATAACAGTAATACACAAAGAGCAAACAAGTATGTAGTGGTCATCACATACAAGGAACTATTTTAAGTATACTAACATATTTAATTCAAACACCATACTTTGAAAGCAGCAAATTCAATGAGAGTGATTAAGTTTTATTTTAGGATGTGTGGAGAAAGATGAATTTGATATTCTTTATCTTCATTAGGATAAACCATTTAAAATCGCTAACAGCCTCAAAGTAAAAGCCATCGCATGAGTTTAAATAATATGTTTTTCCTAGACCTACACTCTTGAGGATTAGTATGACAAAGTTTCAAAGCAATTCCCTTTGAAATGACAATTAACATAATCATCAAGCACTTAAAGTACTTGCGTTGTACTAGTTACAAAGATTAAATTTTCTGTCCTCCTGTTCTGCAAAAAAACAAACAAACAAACAAAAAACCACAGCACCCTCATAGCCAAAATTATGTTCTTGATCCCTATGGCAATGACTACGAGCCATAAATGTTAAGTGATCCTGACAGCAGTTCAAGAAGTACCACAGTTTGAATCTTGATTTATCAAAAGTTCTTAAAATCTTACAAAGATAAATCACTGTGGCATATAAAGAATACTAACAAGGTAAATTAAAAATATATTGCCTCTAATGTCAATAAATTTAATCTAAAAGCTAGATTGAATGAGTAAGTAAATTTAGGCTTTTGTATTTGCCAGGTGCTTTCTGCCATAGCCAATTAGAGGTATACCTCATATTCATTTGGAGCTTTCTGTTTACAAAATGCTTTCATTGAAATTATCTCATATAATCATGACTTCTAATCCTTTACTTAGTTATTATCATCATGTTTTACAAAAGAGATACAGTTACTTAGTAAAAGATCTATGTGCTAGCAAGGCCTTGAAGTCCTGTTTTTTGACCTCAAGTATTCTTACTTTGCACCACATCACAATCACTTCAAGAAATAGGAGATAACAAAGCAAAATATGTAGCACGTGACTCTAAGTAAACCAATCCCTCTCACTAAACTGTGTTAAGATTGTAGTGATTTTTATCAAACTCTACTTAAGGATTTTGAAATCCCATTCAAAGCATCTGGGTCGGTACCAATAAACCTTACCACATTAGTAAGGCATAAGATTCAACATCAGAATAAGAGAGAAAAAAATGAGAAGACTAAGGAAAAAAGGAAAAGCAATACCAAAAAGGAACTTCATTTAAAAGAATTAAGCACAAATAAGCCCAAGGAAATCACTCCAAGGGACCCCCCAATAAGCCTTCACCCCCACCCACACTATAAGAGCATAACCACTATAAAATAACGTTGACTGGGATAGCAGAAAATCACACACTCAGCAGATATGTTTGAGTAATTACCTTTAATTTGCTCCCAATAATCACCAAAATCAATTTTTACTTACCCAATAACTTGATGTTCATAATACTGCAGTGTCCTCTTGAGAGTTTGCTGTATCGTCTGAGGCTAAAGAATAATAATAATAATAAAAACATATTATCAGCAAATCAGTACCATTCCCATTGTGAGCATCACAGGCAGATAGGTGAAGCTTCTGATTTATCTCTTGAGAGTTTTCGTTCTACAATATTCACCCATTTCGCATCATGCTGTGTATTTTCCCCACAGAAACTAGTATGAGGCACTGAGCAACGACCCAGAACTTCCCAGTTTCAAGTATAATAGTACTTCCTAGGAATGTTTTCTTCAATTCTTTTGTACCAGCTATTAAGTTCAATAAAATACTCATTGGCTGCCTACAATAAACCCAGGCCTTGGGGGTGGCAGGGAGGGTGCCCTGCAGAAACATGAGTCATGGTTTTTCCTTTCTAGTATATGTAATCTGCATGAGGTAATGACCAACTGAAATGAAATGGCACGTCTTAATATTTTTTTTGTACGTTTTAACAAGGCTTTCAAGGATGGTCTAGTAAGCAGTGACAAACTGAGTTGAAATAGTCAACTTTATAATAAGAGATATTTTTAAGCTTAAACGATTTTTTTTTCCTGTTCTTCATCTGAGAAGACTAATAAAAAGGCAGAATAGGATAGGAAGCAGGTGATCCAGGGCCCCACAGCCGTGACTTCAACCAGCATTTGGCCTGACTTCCTCCATGTCCCAAGAGAATTCAAGCAAAGGTTCTTTCTGGAGCATACTGAATGAGCCACAAGTGCTTGAAGCGGGGAGTGGGGGGTGGGAAACAGTGAGGTCTGCAACAAATATCTAAGCAGCTCATGACCAAATTTCATTATCTCCTCTCTGTGATGGCTCATGGATTAAGAACAGAGGTTCTCAATCCCAGATCAGGAAATGAGGCAACAAGACTGAGCCTGGAGTTTCAGACTTAGAGAGCCATCAGTGCTCTCTAAGTTCCACCAAGATGCTGGAACCTAGATTTTATTAGGAAGTTATGATAAGAAGAACCAAGTTCTCAGTAGCAAGAGAGTGAATGTTTTAAATAACAAAAACCTGTACTCAATCAAACAGGAAAAAAGCAGTCAAGACCTCATCAAAACACTAATCCATTACAGCCAAGGATGAATTCTAGGGGACTATAAATGTAATACAAACCCTTCAAAATGAGAAGCAGTATGGTAGCTTGGGAATCTCGTGGGCTACTACTAATTAACTACACAAGCCTACTACTACCTCTAAAAAGGTAATCTGCAGAAAAGGTCTAGTATAGTGCTGTTACTTAAAAAGCTATTAATAAATATCAATTTCTAAACACCAATCCTTCAAAGTAGCTTTCTTATAATGTATCATCTAAAGGAGACCCCAGGGGCCACACACAGTGGCTCACACCTGTAATCCTAGCACTTTGGGAGGCTGAGGCAGGAAGATCATGTGAGGTCAGGAATTTGAGACCATACTGATCAACATGGTGAGACCCTGTCTCTCTAAAAACACCAAAAACTAGCCAGGCATGGTAGTGCATGCCTGTAGTTCTAGCTGCTTGGGCGGCTGAGACATGAGAATTGCTTGAACCCAGGAGGCAGAGGTTGCAGTAAGCCCAGATCACCTCACTGCATTCTGTCCTGGATGACTGAGTGAGACTCTAAGAAAAAAAAAAGGAGACCCCCAAAGGTCTATGTCAAATCTCACGTGGACCCACTCCTTGTCCATCTCTTTATAAGAATGTCCAAGACAGATGTAACACTCTCCCTACCTAACACTCTTCAAATCTTTAACATCCTCCTTGGTAGGCAATGGTTAAAGTGAGAGGAAAGTGAGCTTAAATTGATTCAGGGGCATCCACTGAGATTACTCTACACTAGCATGTAGGAGAACCTTTTCACCACACAAATCTAAGGCCTCAGATACCTACTGCACATTAGCCAAGCCAATTCACAAATTAATTGTAGGAGCAATCAGCTCCTAAGTGTTCAAAGGAAGAGGTAGAGAGCAACTTCTTTCAGCAGCTGCTTTTCATTTATACCAGGCCTCAGACTGGCACAGATGTTTCTACTCAATCAAACAGACTCAGAGTAAATGGTATGCACCTAAGAAAGAAAAATTACTCCTGAACCAAGAGGCAGAGGAATGTTTGAGAATTTCTAAAGAGAAAGAATCAGATATAGGGATCCAAGTGCACACAGAAAGCATTCTTTAACAACCCAATCCATGAGCAAACTAAGCTCAATCATTATCATTCACTAGCCCAGTACCCCTTGGATCTGGGCCTCTTGCACTGGCTTGGCAGTTGCTAAGCTAAGCTAACTTTCTCCTTGGCAAGAAGCTCAAAAAGCAGTGGATATCCACAGAGGGATTATCTTTCCAATAACCTCTGGTCACAAATGGAACACAAAGCAGGAACTCGAGTGTACATGGCTAGTTAAGACCAGAATGACCTCATTTGTGAAAAAAAAAAAAAAAAAAAAAAGACTTTTTTTCCTGTGCCAGGAATTTCCCAATCATTAAAAAGCACATATTTGTGAAAGGAGTTAAGCCTTTTAAAGAGCTGGCTTTTTTCTTATGTGAAGCAATTACTTCCACTCCCAGCAGGAGTTAAATTTATAGTTTCCAAATACATTAAAAGGAAAAGTTCTCTGAGCACATCTAACAAAGCTTCAGGTTGATAAAGCATTTATGCACTTCCTATTTCTTGCCAAAGTGGGTAGGCACATTCTAACTGTCTAAACCACAGGTATAGAGGCTGACTGCACAGCATCTCCTAATCTTTAGCAATCCAAGGCTGACTTCAACACAGTCCTGGCCCCTCCGACTATCTTATCACCATAAATTCATTCCAGTTTTCAGAGTTTGTCTGATGGCCTCAACCCATGGCCTCAGCAGTGAGAGACAAATTCATATAATCTCAGCCTCTCTAACCTAAGTAAAAAGCATGAAGTGAAGACTCACAAACAGGCCAAAGCCTTCCATCAGATAACTTCTGCCTAAAGGGTGGTAGGGTCCAGCTCTCAATAAAATTTTATTAAGTGCCCATGTACACCAGTGATGCTCTAAGAAAAAAAAAAGAAAAAGGAGACCCCAGAGGTCTATGTCAAATCTCACTTGGACCCCCTCCATGTCCACCTCTTTATATGAATGTCCAAGACAGATGTGACATTCTCCCTACCTAACACTCTTCGAATCTTTAACATCCTCCTTGGTAGGCAATGGCCAGTGATGCAAGTCACTGTCCATCAGTGGGAACAACAAGGGTTTTGAAGACATGCGAACTTTCTATCCTCTTCTTTAAGAATGCAGCTCTGTAACTGTCTCCTACTTAAGAGAACCATCCAACATTATACAGGCCAAGATCCCACTCCTCTTTTGTGCATCTGTCCTTTTCTGCAATAAAAAAATTGGAAAGATGATTTAGAAAGGAGGGTCTAAAGTCAAACTGAATTCAAAAGCAAGTTCTGTGACTCACTAGCTAGATGACCTTGGGTAATTTACTTACTCTTCTGAAATAAGATTCCTTACGTGTACCTTATTTTTTAATTTAATTATCTTTAAAAAAAATTTTTTTTATTTTTTATTATACTTTAAGTTCTGGGTTACATGTGCAGAACATGCAGGTTTGTTACATATGTGTACCTTATTTTTATGGGAATACACTGAAATAATTATAGCAACATCTCTGACACATAGTAGGTGTAATAAATGAGAGATATGGCTATGCTAAGCTGAAAAATATGGTTTCTACCCACATGAGTCTCATAATATAGTGAATGAGCACAGAGTTCAATCAGAAAACTCATCCCACAGGTATAATGTTTCAAGATCTTCATCACCTAAAAAAATCCAATAAAGCTACCAATATGAGATGTTGACATTAATTCCAGAGAACAGAGAAAAATTCAGAAAAATGGCAGCTGGATTGACAAATATTTCCAATGAAACATTAAGATCAGTTAAGAGAGACAGTGATACAAGCAGAATTCTCAAAATTAAGGCTGAGAATAGTACTAAACCCAGGCCTGCCGGTTAGTGGGAAGGACGTTGAAACACCATAGCTAAGGTAAAACCCCCAGGTATTTACAACTGCTAAGAAACAACCCATGAACTTCCTTTCTTGTACACAAAGAATATGCAACAGGAGAGCTGAGTGGCCTAATAATTTTATAGTCCTGTGCTGGAGGATCAAAGAGACAAGGGTGGAAAAGGAGAAAATCCACTGTTCCTACTATCATAAAAGTCAAGAAGTCTGTAATTTTTCTCTCCTTTTTCAAACTAAGATAGAGATAGTGGCCTCCTAGTGTCCCAACTCAACACAAAGAAGCAGTGGAGAGGAACGGGAAAGCAGCTGGAACGGGGAAGCAGCCATCGGTGTCCTGCACACGTTTTCTGGGGTTCAAACAGAAGGTACCCAAAAGCCTCGATCGTATGGCAGCAAAAAGCCATCTTCATCTCTGGTCTCAATAACAGCTTCACTATACAGTACTTGACCAACAGTGACTGACCCCCCCCAGACCAAATGTTATCCTCATGAAAGATCATGAGATCCGAACAGCCAACCACATAGTCCCAAAAGAGCCAGAGAAATGATCCCTGAAGAGTGGGAGGAAGCCGTCCCCAGCAGCTGGCCCTCCAGGCTCAGACAGTCCCGCTGAGTCTCCCACACAGTCCCTCCTCTGGATATCCGCGCCATATGGTGCGGGAATCAGGAGGGAGGCACAGAGTAAAGGGGTGTGTGTGTGTGTGTGTGTGTGTGTGTGTGTGTGTGTGTTGTGTGCGCGCCCGCATGTGTGCACACATGCAGTATGAAACACAGTTGTCATTGCACAAAATACATGTTCATCTCAATTTTACAGAGATGAAGAACCTGCAGCTCAGGGAGGTTGAGAGCCACAAGATCACACACCCAGTAAGTAAATAAGTCACTGCAACCAGGACTGACTTCAAAGTGTGTCCTCTTGCACTAGATGCCTTTGAGGCTCCCTCCCCACCTTTCACATTCTGCAAGTCACACACACACGCACAAACACACACACACATACACAATTTAAAAATAAACTTC